TTTCAAAGTCAGGACATTGAGGTCTGAATAGCTGGACAATTTGGTTGCATAAAAGCTGGTTGGATGGTTGGGTTCAGAAGGTGGTGGTTAATGGGACTTACACTGTCTATAGGCCAGTGACAAGTGGAGTAATTCAGGGATCTGTGCTGGCCTCTGTCCCATTTGAGATTTTTATCAGTAACCTGGAGGAGGTGACAGACAGTTCTGGTCTCAAGTTTGCAGATGATTCCAGACTGCAGGAACACACAGTCAGGTCAGGGCTGCCATTCAGAGGGACCTAGCCAGGCTGGAGGAATAGACCAGCGGGAACCTCATGAAATTTATCAAGGACAAACACCAAGTGCTGCCCCTGGGCAGGAAGCTCTGGTGCAAGGACACAGGTTGGTCCCTGCCCAGCTGGGAACAGCTCTGCGGGAAGGGACCAGGGGGGCCTTGGCCAGCACAGGGTGGGCTTGAGCCAGGAGTGTGCCCTGGGTGCAGGAACGGCCAACAGCACCCTGGGCCACCTGGTACAGGAAAGACATGGGGTAAGTGGAGTGAGTTCATCGGAAGGCCTCTCAAGCCAGCTGAGGGCCAGAGCACTTGCCCTGTGAGGGGAGGCTGAGGGATCAAGTCTTGCTCAGCCCAGAGAAGAGATGGCTTCAAGGGAGGCCTAACAGCAGCCTGCCAGGACCTGCGAAGGAGTTATCAAGAAGACAGAGCCATCCACTTCACAGTGGGACACTATGGGAGAATGAGACACAATGTGTCTAAGTTGGAACAAGAGCAGAGGTAGGATAGAAGAAAATAATTTTTCACGCTGGGGACAGTCAAGAACTGGAGCTGGCTGCCCAGAGAGGCTGTGCAATTTCCATCCTTGGAGAATTTTAAGACCTGACTGCTTAAAGCCCTGAGCAACCTGGTCTGACCTCAGAGCCCACCCTGGAGCTTGGACTAGATGTCCTCCTCCAGGTCCTTTCAACTTGAATTGTTGCTGTGATTCATTCTATGAATATTTTAAACCTACCTTGAACTTCCAGCTAAATTTATTTGTGATTTATTTGTGTCCTTGTGTTCTCGTGCTTCTTAGGCTTGTTCTTTGCCTAAAATAAATTTCATTCTGCAATGTATTAACTGAGAACAATAACATTTGCTCTCAACTAAGCAGAACAAGCCATGTTCTTCTGATTTCCTCCTGTGAAATAGACTCCCTACTCCTTTTTCATCCTAATATCCCCTCTCTGCACCTGTTCTGATTTCAATTCATCTATCTTGCATGTAGATGATCACAGTACAAATCCAAATGCAAGTCAACAAAGAAATATTCATATCCTGTACTAGGCACTTTTGCTACCTAAAACATTCTACAGGACAACACAGCCTTAGATTTCATTATTTTTTTACAACGCACCCTGCCCATACTAATCCTGTCACTGTTTATAATTTCCTGATCTTGCTTTCTACATATAGAAATACATAAATGTAGACATATGCAAAATTATTGTGCCATAGAAATTATTAATGATGATTAATCCGACTATTAAAAAGGCTTTCCTGATATTTGCTCTAAACATTTCTCTCACTACTAATTTTCACTACTCTTAATTGGACCATTTTTTTCCCTCAGAAGCTGTTAAGTTGTTCTAGACCCAGATGCCTGTCAAATATTTATACACAGAAATCTTGTCCTCTCTTAAATTACCTCTATTGATTTTTTCTGGTGAGTCATTTTGTCCTGGTTTCGGCTGGGATAGAGTTAGTTTTCTTCTTAGTAGCTGGTATAGTGCTGTGTTTTGGATTTAGGATGAGAACAATATTGATAAAACACTGCTGTTTTTAGCTGTTGATAAGTAGTGTTTATACTAAGTCAAGGGCTTTTCAACTTCTCATGTCCAGACAGGGAGGAGGCTGGACGGGCACAAGAATTTAGGAGGGGGCACAGCCAGGACAGTTGACCCCAACTGACCAAAGGGATATTCCATACCATAAGATGTCATGCTCAGTATATCAACTGGGGGAAAGCTGACCGGGTGACTGCTGCTCGGGAACAGGCTGGGCATCAATCAGCGAGTGATCAGCAATTGCATTGGTCATCACTTGTTTTGGATATTCTAATTCTATTATTACTATTACCATTATTCTTGTTTTCTTCCTTTTCTGTCCTATCAAACTGTCTTTATCTCAACCCACAAGTTTTCTCACTTTTACTCTTTCAATTCTCTCCTCCATTCTGCTGCGGGGGGAGTGAGTGAGCGGCTGTGTGGTGCCTCATTGCTGGCTGGTCTTAAACCACGACACATTTTTTCCCAGCACCCTAATTATTTGGATGTGAATGAAAAAGATTTCTTTACAACAAAATGTTTTCATATAGTTCTCAATTTTGTTTTTAGGATCCTGTAAAAAGACCACTGATCTATTCTTTAAATCCCAGAGATCACAGGTACCTAAAAGGTCTGAGACATAACCTTTTAAGTACATTGATCACAGAATGCCTTATTCTCTTTGTATTGCAAGTGCTTTTTGAGATGCTAACTCTGATCTCAGTTTGGTCATGTGGAGTTGTGGTCCTTCTGGGAAAGGCGGCTTCATTTAAGGAGTAATTAAGAACAAGTAATTCCAGTGATACAGCAGGTTTCTCTATCATAGTTTCTCTCATTTTGTTTCTCCACAAATTCCTCCTTTGGGAAATTGTTTTAAGATAATCTAGAAGTGAATTCTCATAGTTTCTCAATGAGATTGCCTGTCTTATGTTGGTAATTTGCCATGCAGGAGATAAATCGACTTTTTTTGAGATAGCATTTTGCTGTTCATGGCTTATGTACTGCTTTTCACCTTAATTGTTTAAAGAGCAGTAAGTCATCTGTAGATTTAGTAAGCATAAATTTGAGTTTGTGAGACAGTAACACAGACTGCTGGGCCCTGTGGAGATTTCATTGGCTAAATGTTTATGAATATATAAAGAGCTCTTAGCTCCAATGCTTAATTTCTTTCTCCCTTCCAAGTGTAGTTACAGAAGCCTCCTGTGTCTGATCTTGGTATGTGAGCTGCTTATAAAGGGAAGCCATGCACTGATTCCAGCACCATCCTGTTGATCCCTCAGAGGGAATTTTCCAGCTCCAGCACTCCAGCTCCTGCACAAAATCACTCAAAATTTTTCAGCCATTGGTTACACCTTCTTTTGAAAAAGAAAAATGTTTGACTGTGTACTGGGTGCAGGTGCTCAGTACTGGGGGAGGTGGGGATGGGAGCTGCAGGGGCAGCCTCTGTGAGGAGAGGCTGGGGGGGGCCCA